GATAGATAGATAGATAGATAGAGAGAGAGAGAGAGAGAGAGAGAGAGAGAGAGAGAAAGAGAGAGAGAGAGAGAGAGAGAGAGAGAGAGCATTCGCTCTTATATACACAAACGTCCTCGTACTAAGAGAAGCTTCTTCTGTCTAATATGGCTGTTATATCGTCTATACTTTCTCTCATAATCGAACGAAACGAACTAAATCACTTGTATTTGCGTGCTTATGCTGTCTCCTAAAATGATTTGAATGATAAATTTAATATCGATGCGGACAATTTCAGAATTGAAACTGGTCATGTCGACTTCTAAGAACAAGATGTTTACACCTCCAACAGTAATGAAATCATTAGCATCACTATCCAGTAGCTATCCGTTTATTTCTTTTCTCTGATGTTCTAAGAAAACACACAACAACTATATTATTATCCCTTTCTTTCTCCGTCATCCATCTGTTTTTGTTTTAGAAATAGAGTGCTTAAAGTTTTTTGTTTTTTTTGTTGTTTTTATTTGTGTTTGGGAAGGGGGAGGGGGGTTTGGGTTCATTTTTATTATTGTTTATACTTTAGTCAGGTCCGCCGTCTGTTGGCATGTGCGGGTCACCAGGCACCAGGCACCGCTCACATTCCAGACAAGTTGCCAGTGCAGTCTGCCCGGTCGCCCTACACCTCTGACCTTTCACCGCTATCTGTCTATGTTGATTTCCTCCTGACTTTTTGACCTTTCCCAGCGCGACCATGTTGGTGCTCTACGGCGCTTGGCTGGACATGTCATGTCCGTTCTAGGAGAACACCAAGTTTTTGTGTATTCAAAGTGACATCGTTTCAAAAAAGTAATGTCTATTAGAAACAGATGAGAGTTACTTTTTGTGCAGCCTTTTCTTTTCCTGTTCATGGGGGTATTATGGCTTTTTATGAAATCAAGCAGTAAATGATAAGACCGAGTAGTGCTGAAACAGCGCAAACGCCGCGCATTAGTATGACGCGTTGTAGATCTACAATGTTTACCCCCCCCCCTCCTCTCTTTCTCCCTCTCTCTGTCCCTCCCTCTGTCCACAGCTCCACCCCCCTTCCACCCCGTTCTCCCCCTCTCTCTTCTTCTTACTCACTCTCTAACTCACACAGTCACAATGCTATGATAGACTAGAATGAGTGACAGAAGTATGAACAGAGAAGTGATTGTTTCTTTATGCTACAGATTTCCACCACCCGCCAGCCCCCTCTCTCCCTCCCACTTTCTCTTCTCTTCTTTTCCTTCCCATCTTTCCCCCCCCGCCTTTCCTACTCTTTGTCTGACTTAAGTTATGTGGGGTAAGGGAGAAAAAAAAGAAAGTGTGACGGGCCACTTGAAATGTGTCAACAGCTCATCCTAGGGCTGGGTAATGAGTCGCTTTAACAATATCCGGATAATAATGAAAGTCTACCTCTTCGGTAAATAATATGTTATGAACCGGTTTGACAAATGGGTTAGAACCACTTTGACTAACGGGTTAGCACCAGTTCAACAAATGGGAGGACCCACGTCGGCAAACGGGTCAGGAAAAAGAGTTAAAGAGTCTGAATTCGGATACTGTCTTATTGAGGATTATCCGATTATCCGGATATTTATCCGGATTTTGCCCTCCTATACATTCCATCTGTGCAAGTGTTCCGCCCTCATCTTATGTCTACATTAATTTGCTGTGTTTAAGATATCGTTGTGGGTGTTTGGCGGGTGCTCTGGTGTGGTTTGCTCCTTTTTTGCTATCAAACATCTATCGTCGTGATCTCTCCTCGTTCTCTTTTATGTTTGTTACTCTCTTGTAACACCTCTAATCTTCGGCACTTATATGATTTTATTGTGTTCCAAGTGCCGTAAAACTCTTACTAAAACTAAAAACTAAGGTATCATTCAGCTACATATTTCACGATCTTGCTTTCAATATCAAGCGTATATAATCTAGAATTCTACATTTTGCTGTCGTTTATATTTGCCTTGTTTCCCATAGTATCTGGCGGATTGTTGGAAGGGGCCACTGATGGGTCCTACTTCTTTCCCTCTGTTGTTTCTGTCTGTCTTACTTTTCGCTGGCACTGAATAATCTGTATAGTACTCAAACAAACAAACCAACCACAGTATACCTGCTCCTATCACTAAAGTTAATTTGCAGGTCTCGTTTCTCATCGCCGTCTGAGTATGTATCAGCTGGTCAGAACAAAGACTTACCTCTCCTGCGCCCCCCCCCCAACCATCTTTCTCTCCACCGTCCTTCTTCCCAAAGGTGTCAGAGGAAACAGGGCCGGTGCCATCGCCGCATACCGTTCTGGCTGCAACCCGTGGAGCAGTGTTCTCAAGTCATAGTTACTTTGTTAGTGCGCTTTTCTCTGTGTGAGTGTGAATGTCACAAAGTAATTATGGTGTTGCTCAGTGATGATTTTTTTGTGTGAGTTAGTTCTATTGGTTTAATAACAGGCTGTGGTACCCATAGAGGCGAAGAAGTATGCCGTGTGTTTTTTTGTTTAATACGTTTCTTCGGGATATATTGTGTCGCCCGGGACTTATGTACGTCCATACTTGCATTGCCTTTTAAACTTCTTTTGGTTCTGAAAGTGGCCTCTTCAGTACTGATTTGCAAGTGGTTCGAAATGTTGTATTTACTCAAAATTCTTTTTTCTGTTTTGTGATTTGCGAGTCTTTTGGTCAGCGGCTTTTGGTGATTTAGGACCCGCTTTTGCGCCTATTGTATGGGAAACTTGACCGTAGCAACTGAAACAGCAGTACCTCTGCCGCCACCTCTACCCACAACACAGACTGTCAGACTTACAAGTTAGAACACCCCCCCCCCCCCGTCCCACTTGCTGAAACATGATATGATAACCCCAGCCTCGATTACCTGTAGTTCAACAAATACGACAATTTAAACAATAGTCATGCCGTTTTCCCCCCAACAGTCTGTGGTTGGAAGGAGGGCTGCATATCTTTGTCAGGTATCGTAACTTGCATTATCGTCGGTGTATTCAGTCCTACCCTTTTTCAAAATGTGTTCGTTCTGCCGTCCTGTATTTGTCGATCATCGCCCATCTTCCCATTTATTGTAGCAAGAGAGCCAGAGGTATGTGCAAAATTGTTATTTAAAAAAAAATCAAGATTTTGTTCCTTTGGCGTTGGGTTAAGTGTACCAACATATTACCTAATCAAGCACCAATTATGCATTAACGTAAGAGGGTCACTGTGTTAACATACCAGACAACATAGATTACAGTGAATTAAATTCCTCTAGTGTATGTCAAGGCATTAGCTTATTCAGGCTTTCGTCTGGCTCTCATACGACGTCTTCATTATGCCATGCCTAATCATTTGTTCATTGATCCATCCACCAAATCGGAGGTATGCACATTTCAGTTATTGTCCTCGTTTTCTTATTATCAACGGGTGTTTTCCTTTCATTAATACGTTTGCTCTGCTATATTTATTTGAAAATAAATTTTCCTCTGGTATATAGAATGCTACTGTGGTCTTAGTGTGCACGGTTTCGAGGTTGGCGTGTCGGAGTCGTAGCGGATGAGACTCTTGCAATGGCCATGAGTGTGAACTGGACTCTCTCTGTGCATCTGTTTTCTTCCGACTTCATCCATACACCTTCTTCACGACGTGGCTCTCTCTTGCTGACGCCCTGGGTGCTAAATTAGTCCCCATCGGCGGGAGCCACCTGGGACGAATCAGTTTATCAATAACAGATTCTCTGATCAGCCCTCCTGGAATAAATACATATTCGTATAAGTTCTTCTCTACGCGTATCCCGGTCTGCCTCTCTCAGGGCTAGTGTCTTCCAGAAGCGCTGATCACGTTATGAGCGCGCCGCGAGGGGCCCCACTGTTTTGCTTAAGCAGAGCGGCCTGATATGACATCACGGAAATTCACAAATAGCGCAAGCGGTATCAAGTGTAGAAGTATAAGGATGTGTGACAAAATCTGTTCCCTTGTGTGCAGCACCGATGTCGAATCGACGATTTGAAAAGTGTTCCTCGTTTGCTGTCGCTGCTTTGACGCCACCACCACAGGAAATAATGGTTCGGTGTGTGTATGACACGCCTCCTTGAATACTACATACTGCCCGACGTTTTAACGCCGAACAGTAACGACCAGTTCGCTGTTGACACAAGAGAAAAAAGAGAGAGAGGGGACGGAGACCGAGCGGTGTGTGGCACTTACTTAAAACACCTGCTACCCACGACTATATAATTTTTGCGCGTATCATTTGCTGGTGTGGCCAGTGTCGCGCCTCATGTTTCCGTACCCAGCAGCGTGACAATAGCTTTTACTCTGTAGATTGCCCTTCGCACTGTTTCTTAGGCTTCGGTTGTGTCTGCTCTGTTGTTTACCTATCCTACCGATTGTTTCTGGCGTTTGGTTCTTGGATATACGAATGTGGAATTAACGACTTTTGTAACAGGCACGTGATGTTGTTTTGGGTCGTGTGTGGTGACACATGACTTTGTTATAGTAGAGTATTCTGTTAATGGAACAAACGCTGCAGGAATAAGAGCAATAAATTCTAGGGAAGAGAGCGATGAAGGGCCATTCTTCACGCAGTAGAAGCTGGATCATTTTACCTGTACCAGCCAGATATATGCGTAGTCACAGCTCTCCATTTATGTGAGGATCGCAGTAGTGCATCTTGCGCCAGTTTTCAGTTCCACACATGTGACCACTGCAGCCTGCTGATTGGATATAAAATAACGGTGCTTCCAGTTCAAATCACATCCACTGCTGACTCGTGTCTCTTCACGCCTTCGTCTTTAATCTTCTCGAGCTCCGAAACTCGTTGCGTAGACTTTAAGTAGAATTTCTGAAGTTCTACGTTGAAGAGTAATATTGTCAAGGACCCTGATGCGTCAGTTATTCCAAGTTGAAAGAGTCTCCATTGTGTGCCGTGATGGATATATGGGATCACTATGGGTCTTTGCAGTGTGAAAACAAACAGGAATACATGACTTTTTCTTCTAGTGACTATAGGTCTTTCTTTCTAAAAATTGTTGAGCAGTCTCTGTCAAGTCTCTAGCATGAGTTACTTTGAAGATGCTGGCACACTGTCATGTTAGGAAGTCCAAGCTCTAGACAGGGACCAGCGAAGTCACGCTCGGCTCCCGGCGGTTGAATGACTCCCTGTAGCCTGTTACTGTACTCCCAAGTATGGTCTAGGCCGTGAGAGGCGTCGATTGCTACCTTCCTCCAGTGAATTGTCCGGTGGCTATCTTCAGTTGAGATGTGCGCTTATGCATTGTCCCTCTGAAAGGAGCTGGACAAACAGCAGGTTTTCCTCACCTGGACAAGGCAGGAACTGGTTGACAGCCAAGTCAGTCACCTGCCACTAACTAATACCGCACAACATACCCCCACAGCGTGATCTCCCTTTGAGACCAAGGAAGAAACAACACCTATAAGGCAAGAGAAATTGGTGATCAATGTTTTACAAGCGATAGCCGGTACCGATTCTTTTTTTAAACCGCGGTGTGTGGTCATTTGTGCATCTGTTCACGTGTGGACAAGCCAGCAAGCTGTGCGTGAGCTGGGATTTATAGCTGGTCTTTCTCGTCAGTAAACTCAAGGGGTGTCGTCACCTCGTGGTGTCTCTCCTCCCCCCCTTCCCCCCCCCCTGTCTTGTGCCTCCCGTCCGTCCCCTGTGGCCTATACATATCACGTGACCTGTGGTGAGCACTGGTGGCTGTAGCATGCCCGGGGTGCCGCCCGTCTCGCAGGAGTCCTGGAAGCACGTGCAGCAGAGCCTGGACATCATGCAGGCGGCCGGCGGCAGGCCCCGGCGCAAGAAGCGACACAAGCTCTCCATCGCCAAACTCTGCTCCTGTGTGGTGGCCGAGCCGGCCGAGGACTTCCCGGAGAGCTCCAGGCCCTTTGAGAAAAAGTCGCCGGTAAGTAACTTTGCCTAATTCAAGACTGGTTCATCTCCCCGCCAGATAGGGCGTGTGGAAAAGGAATAAGGTGGTTAAAAAGCCCCCCCCCCCCCAC